ATCGTAAAAACAAACTGAGATTTAAGTAAGTCTGGTTGAGACTAGTTGTAACTGCATGCTTTGTCTCGGCGAGACTAGTTTTGACTCAGTCTGGCTGAGGCTCGGAGGGCTTAGTCAGGCTGAGGCTTTAGTTAACTCAGTCTGGCTAAGCTCTTCATGCTCAGTCTGGTTGAGGCCTGGCTTAACTCAGTCTGGCTGAGCTCTTCATGCTCAGTCTGGCTGAGGCTTGGAGGGCTCAGTCAGGTTGAGGCTTTGGTTAACTCAGTCTGGCTGAGCTCTTCATGCTCAGTCTAGCTGAGGCTTGGAGGACTCAGTCAGGCTGAGGCTTTGGTAACTCAGTCTGGCTGAGCTCTTCATGCTTAGTCTGGTTGAGGCTCAAAGGGCTCAGTTAGGCTGAGACTTTGGTAACTTAGTTTGGCTGAGGCTTGGAGGGCTCAGTTGGGCTGAGGCTTTGGTAACTCAGTCTGGCTGAGGCTTTGGTTAAGTCAGTCTGATTGAGCTCTTCATGCTCAGTCTAGCTGAGGCTTGGAGGGCTCAGTCCGGTTGAGGCTTTGTCCAAATCTTATTATTGAGACGCAACACAGATAAATGGAGATGTGAAATTGTTGTCATTAAAGCACAATTTGTCGATCACAAATTTACACCGTGTATGGGGAGGACAAAAGGAACAAGTGCGCAGATTGGCAAAAGAGAACATACAACAATTGAATGATACAAAAATAGGAGACGCCATTTTACTAGAAATAATGCTTCAAGTGCTCGACATTCTATGGATGGGGGAGGTCTCTGCTTTCCATATCTTGGAGACGGTAAGTACCTTGGCGGGGTCTACTCTTGACAACATAAGGTCCCTTCCATTTGGTTGCTAGCTTGCCCTCGGTCAGATTTTTAGTGGCAAGGGTTATTTCGCGTAAGACTAGGTCTCCCACTGCGAACTCTCTTGGTTAGACTTTGCGGTTATAATGTGTTCTGATTTTCTGCTGATATAATGCTTATCAGACAACAGTTGCCTCACGGAGCTCTTCAATTAGGTCCATGTCCGCCCGACGCAACTCTTCGTTTAATTCTGGATACGGGTGTAAAACCCGAGGGGTCGGTAGGCCGATTTCCACTGGGATGACTGCCTCGGCACCATATGTTAGGCGAAAAGGGGTCTCCCCAGTAGGGGTTCGAGTGGTTGTCCGATAAGCCTAGAGTACATTCGGCAATTCCTCAGCCCAGAGTCCTTTAGCGACCTCAAACTTAGTCTTGATGATCTTTAGAAGGGAGCGATTGGTGACATCGACTTGGCATTGTTGAATTGTTTACCATTGTTCCAAACAATGGCTAGGGGGATTCCAAATCGGCACACAATTGACTGCCAGATGAACCTAGTGTTTCGCTCAGTGATCGTAGCAAGGGGTTCTCCTTCCACCTATTTGGTGAAGTAGTCAATGGCAACCCTAACGAACTTGGTTTTGACCCTACCAGTGGGCAAATGACCGACTAAGTCGATGAAGTGGTAAGAACTGTTGAGTGTAATCAGTTCTGTTGGTGGAGTATGGGTGATGTTGGCAAAGCGCTGACATTTATCACACTTAAGTACAAAGTCGTTGGCATCTTGATTCATAGTAGGCCAAAAGTAGCCCGTGCGGAGGATTTTGTGGGCCAGAGATCTTCCACCCTAACGATTACCACAAATGCCCTCATGGACTTCTTTCATCACATAGGTCGCTTGAGGAGGACTGAGGCACCTGAGGTATGGCATGAGAATCCTCGTTTGTATAGTAAACCGCTGATGAGGACGTAATTGGACGACCGGGCTCTGACTTTGGCGGCCTGCTGTTTATTGTCTGGAAACTCCCCGTGTGTAAAAAACTAAAGAATGTCTTGAGCCTATGGGATTGGTTCATTCTAGAGGTAGTGAACTTTTTGTGGGTTTGGCAAAGTAGTTGGATGGGTCAGGTATTCAATGCGGACACCATGGCTGAAGTCTGACTAGTCGGCCGGGGCTAGTTGAGCCATTTCGTCCACCTTGGAGTTTTTTGACTGAGGGATGTGTCTGATCTGGAAAATATTGATGAGGTGGACAAGAGGAAGAGCAATGTCCCTGTATGCTCGCATCGTTTCTTCTTTTGCGTCGAACTCCCCAGTAATCTGTCCAACAATCAATTGGGAATCACTGAATACTTGGATATGGCTTACACTAATGTCTCTGGCTAGTCGAAGACCTACTATCAAGGCCTCATATTCGGCCTCATTATTTCTTGTGTTGAATAGGAAACGGAGGGCACATGTGAAGTACTCACCCTCTGGGCTGGTGAGGATTAGACCAGCTCCACTACCTTCTTTGCGGGATGAACCATCAACATTAAGGGCCCATGAGTGGTGGTCTTCTGTATCAGCGGTGAAGTGAAGTCGGTCCAATCTCACGTTCGGAGTGAGATTGGTGAATTTCAAGATAAAATCGGCGACAACCTGACCTTTGATTGTTGTTCGAGGTCGGTAAGAGATGTCAAATTAACTTAGCACGACGGACCATTGCATAAGTCCGCCTGACGATTTTGGTTGTTGCAGGACTTTTTTCAGTGGCTGGTCAGTGAGAACCACAATGGTGTGAGCTTGAAAATAAGATCAGAGGTATCTGAAGGCTAAAACCAAGGCGAGGGCCATTTTTTCCAGCAGAGGGTAGTTTTGTTCTGCCCCCCTAAGAGCGCGACTAATGTAGTAGACTGGTCGTTGTACTGAGCCATCTTCTCTAATAAGGGCAACGCTGGCCGCAATGTTTGACACTGCTAAGTAGAAGAAGAGGGTTTCGCCTGGCAGCGCTTAAGAGAGGAAGGGGGCTTGGGCATGCACTGTTTCAGTTGTTGAAAAGCTTCCTTGGATTTGGTGCTCCATTCGAACGCCTGTCGGATGACGTTAAAAAATGGAAGGCACTTATTAGTTCCCCGGGAAATAAAACGGTTGAGGGCGTCAACTTTACCTGTGAGCCGTTGAACCTCATTGACCATTCTGGGAGACCGCATTTTTATTAGTGCCTTGATCTTTTCGGCGTTAGCCTTAATGCCCCATTGGCTAACCATGAAGCCTAGGAACTTCCCAGACCCTACGTCGAAGGCGCACTTCTCAGGATTCAGCTTCATCTGATATTTGTGTAAGGTTTCGAAGGACTCTCGCAAGTCTGCCAAGTGATATGAGGAGAGTTTACTCATGACTAGCATGTCATTGACGTAGACTTCCATGTTCCAACCTATCTGGTGTTGAAAAATGGCATTAACCAGGCGTTGTTAAGTTGCTCCGGCATTTTTCAAGCCGAATGACATAACACGATAGTGATAAGTTCCCCTGTTCGTGATGAAGGAGGTGTGTTCCTGGTCGGCCGGGTGCATTAGGATTTGATTGTAGCCAGAGAAGACATCCATGAAGCTAAGCATCTGATGTCTTGCAGTTGCATCAACCAGCAGATCTATCCTGAGGAGAGGATAACTATCTTTGGGGTAAGCCCAATTGAGGTCGGAATAGTCGACGCAGAGTCACCATTTACCATTGTTTTTACAGACCAAGACTACATTGGACAGCCACCTGGGGTAGTCCATGTTTTTGATGAATTGGGCTTTCAACAGTTTGTCTACCTCAGAGGCGATGAGGGTATTGCGTTCCAGGTGAAAAATACGCTGCCTCTGTCGGAAAGGTCAGAAGTAGGGCTTAATATTGAGACGATGAGTGATGAAAGAGGGATCGATGCCCGGTATATCTGAATGGGTCCAGGCAAAGACATCGTTGTGCTTGGCTAAGAGGGCTGTGAGATTGGCCTTGGCCTAAGAAGATAGTTAGCAGCCAATCCTGGCTGTTTTGGCTGAGTTGGTAGGATCGATAGGCACTTCGACAAGTTCCTCCACTGGTTTCCCTTTGACTAACTCTTCCTCGTCTTTGACATCGAGACCTTCGATGATCAAAGCCTCCTTCAGCTTGACCTCCTTTACTGAGGCGACATAGCATTCTCTGGCCACTATCTGCTCGCTCCTCACGGTGCCGACCCCGAGGTCAGTTGGGAATTTCATGGCTAGATGGTATGTGGAGGTGACAGCTTAGAAGGCGTTGAGAGACGTGTGTCCGAGGATTGTGTTATAAGTAAAAGAACAGTCGACGACGAGGAAAGTGAGCAGCTTGGTGGTCTACCGTGCATATTCTTCGATGGTGATGGGAAAATCAATGGAGCCTATAGAGGTCACCCGATCGCCAATGAATCCAACTAGCGGGGTTTGGAAAAGGGACAATTTTCTTTTCCGACCTTGAGTTGGCGATAGGCGTTCAGGAAGATGATGTCTGAAGAGCTGCCGTTGTTGACAAACACCCGTCTGAATTTGTAATTAGATAAGACAGTGGAGATGACGAGGGGGTCGTCGTGGGGGTAACGGGTACCTGTGCAGTCGGTCTCCGTAAAAGTGATGGGTTCAGACCATTGCTTGGATTGTTTGAAGGGGCGATCCAATGTCATGACTTCTTTGTTGGAGCCTTGTCTGATTTTTCTGAGCTTAGCTCGCTGGGCTGAACGGGATGGACCTCCGCATGCGAACCAACCCACGATGACTCTGATCTCTCCGACTGGGGGGGCGGGGTTGCCTTTTGCTCGAGGTTGTGCCGGGGGCCGATCATTGTCTCGCTTAGGTTGTGTGGGTTGTCGGGGGTATGTCGGCGGTGGTCCCCGACGGGGGGGTCCTTGGTTGTTGCTGGGGACGAGTTGCCGTGAACCGACTGAGGCGCCCCTGGTGTATCAAATCCTCGACTTGGTCTTTAAGGTTAACACATTCCTCTGTGTTGTAGTCGTGGTCCTGATGGAAACGGCAGTACTTGGATTGATCTTGCCGGTTGGAGGGAGACCGTGATGGTTGGGGCCATTTCAGGTTGTAATGTCATTGAATCTGGTTCAAGACTTGTTCCATGGGGGAATTGAGGGGAGTGTATTGCTTAAACCGACCGGGCGGTCGGGTAGGGGCCGGTCGGTTAGCTCGGGTGAGTCAGTCAGTATATTGAGGGGATCTGGTTTCGGATTCCTTTCTTTTGTCCTTAGGGGTTGGATTTTTAAGTGTAGCATCTTGGCGGGCTGCCAAAGAGTCTTTGATATCCATATACTTTTGGGCTTTGGAAAGGAGGGTGGCCATGGTGGTTGGAAGGTTTTTAGAGAGGGAGAATAGGAAATCGGATGGTGGTAAGCTGGACATGAAGGCTGTGAGGATGACCTTGTCGTGATTTTCCGCCATCTGTAGGGCCTCAGTGTTGAAACAGATGACAAAACTACGTAGTGACTCCCCTTCCGTCTGTCGGATATTAAGCAGTTGAGTTGCCAGGTGCCACTGGCATTGAGCACCAATGAAATGGCTCAAGAAGGAATCACTTACGTATTGAAAAGTAGAGACAGAATCTGGTGGTAGTTGACTAAACCACAGTCGAGCCGATCCTTTAAGCATCATGGGGAAAGCCTGACACATGATCTCATCAGGAAAAGCATCGAGGATCATAAGGGTCCTGTAGGCCTCCAAATGGTCGACTGGACCCGTTGTGCCGTCGAAGGAATCGATCGAGGGCATTTTGAACTTGGGAGGTAGGGGTTTGTCCCTGATGGAGGCGACAAATGGGGAGTTAGCTGTTGTAAAGGGTTTGTTCTGTATGTTCTGCACGACTCCTTGAAGCTAGAGTTTCATGGCTCGAAGTTCCGTATCCCAAATAGGAACATTGTCCGCTCTAGAGTGCAGTGGGGGCTGAACACTACTAGCCTCTCTTTCAGGGGCAGGTGCTTGAATTGATGGATGTAAACCCCGAGGTGGCGGGTTCATGTCTTGAGGTAGGGCTTGCAGACCCTCTAAGTTGGAGAGGTGGGCTTGTTGGAAAGGATGGCTCAAGATTTGTTCTCGATTGGGAGGGATATCTTGTGGTGGTAGAGGAGGTATAGGGAGGTTTCGCTGGATCAAAGCGTTAATCAAGGCCTAGTTTTGCTCGGCCAAGCGGTTGATGCTGTTGGTGAGCTCCGTGAAGTACTGAGGTGGGTCATTCGGGTTGTTTGGGTTGGGAGGGTCGGCTTGGGGGTCGACGACGTTGTATTGGGAAGCCATAGATCTCGTTATAACCATCCACCTCGATGGTAAGTGAGGAGAAATTATCAGGAACGGGTCTTCGGCAACAATGAACACAACTGCTACCCGGAGCGGCGTTTCCTACAAATGGTGCCACTGATGATGTTGCTGATCCAAAGGAGGGTGAGTCGGGTTGACCTACGCTTCCTGCATTGAGTTCGCTTGTGTGCCTGCAAAAATATCCAACGGGGAACAGGAGTTCCCCAGTAGACCCTCCGACAATAAAGTTAAAAGAGAGGAGATTGATGGTGTGGAGGTGGGGAGAGAATAAAAATAGAGAGCTTAACCTTTGATGTGTCTTGGAAGCCTCCTTATATCCTTTGTCCATCATTTCCTTGTCTACTCCGACTTGTCGTGTTGGCCGAAAGTCTATGCTCTAGCTTGCATTGTTCACGGTGAGGCTGCCCGTTCTGATGTGAAGGGGTTATCGCATTTAATGCTACAGGAGCCTCATTAATGGCTGATATGTGATGCAATAACTCTGCAGGATCTTTGTCTGCTTACGTGGCTAGTTCCCTTTTTGACAAGTGTTTAGATGCCATTGGTTCCTGGTGCAGCGTTGGGTTTTCAATGTTGTTGGGCTTTAGTGTTTGAATCGTGAATTGGGCTCTAAGTGGTGGGCCAAAAGCTTCTGTGGGCCTACCGATGTCATTATCCAAAGTCATGAGATTTTGCAGCAAAATTTAGGTTGATAAATTTTGTGAAAAGGCCAAATGTCTGGACTTTCCAATTTTGTTAAAAAAAAATTAATGACGACAAATTTTGTGAAAATGCCAAAAGAATGGACTTACAACTTTTTGTTGCAAAACTTACGTTAATAAATTTTGTGAAAACACCTAACATATAAATTTAGTTTGAAAAATGTTAGGTTTCATAAAAAATGATTTGTGAGGATAGTCATGAAAGAATCTTTATCCTTATATTACATATTGTATATGTAATAAAAAACAATTCATAATCATCCTCATGAAATATTTTTCATAATGCCAAACATAATTGCTTAAAGAAAGAAGACTCTAACAACACCACTACTGGCTCAGTTCTTGATTGCATGTAATATTATTACTTCATGTCCTATTTAAATAATAATGCAACTATTTATTTTCTAATAATAATAATAACTATTATTATCAAACCAAGAAATATTCTCACTACTTGGCATTGCCATATGACAAACTTCAAAGAAGGCATTTGAGAGGCCATAACATAATAAATAATTTGATGAAATTAGGCATTTTTTAGTGGCATCACTCCCTCGACTATGGGGCAAGTGTAACACCCTTCATAACTAGGGCCCCAAAATTGTTCAACATATTAGAGACAGCACACCAAAGGCCATCAGAGTCTTTACGATATAGTGTTCATCCAAACGAATCTCGAAATAGACCTGCATAATAGATTCATTTTTTTTTTCAAAGTTGCAATTGGTTATATACAAGTATATTAATTTGTTCCCATGAAGTGCAATTCCAATTCTGAACAAATACTAGCTAAAGTGGGATAAAATTAACTAAGTCTTAGTGTTCGGCCCAATGCCAAACCCGCACCAGTAGAGGAGCTAAGGGCTCGGCCCAATGACCAAACACTTTCTCTAAAGTAAGACAATCAAGGTAGCGGCCTAGTGCTAGGCCCACTCCGAAACGAATCGAGCAACATGTTGGACAACCACTCCGAAGTGGGCCAAGAAACATATTAGACCTCCTGGTTGGGTAAGCAACCACTCCGAAGTAGGTCGAGCAACATGTTGGACCACCTGGTTGGACAGACAACCACTCAAAAGTGGGCGAACTTAGAGAAGGCCAATTCACCGAATATTGTTCTTGAAGCTCGCAAGAGACAAACAACTCTGCTTCTCTCCCTCTGTCTGAGCAGAATGTGGAGACATAGAAGTGCAAAAGGACAAGGCACACACATGACAGACCTGTATCTGAGTGTCAGGTAGAGTGGTCGTCCTCCTCCAATGAGAGACGACCACTAATAAGACAAACAAGACAGATCTGCACCCGAGTGTCAGGCGGAGTGTCCTTTTTCAATGGGAGATGACCACGAATAAGACACATTGGACAATGTCGGAGAAAGAAGGTCTTGGAGGACAAGCAACCTTCTCCTATAAAATTTGAGCACTATTCACTCTCAAGGGATCCGAAATCCACGCGCTTAACATATACACACTCTTTGTATTCTCTCTTCTTCCTTTCCCTTAGTCCTTGAGTTTACCATTGGAAGGGTTTCCGACCAAACCCTGGTCGGACAGTCTCACCGTTTGTTACTTTGTGCAGATATTCAATTCCCAAAGCACGCTGTTCATCCACGAAGTTCAACCTTTCTTCATAGTGTAGAAATCACCCTTGTACAATTGGTGCCACCTATAAGAAATGTTCTCTAATTATTTCGTGATGAACTCCAACGATAGGAATTGAAGGTACTTTGTCATTTAGGATTGGAGAGAAGACTCTAGGAACGAAGAGAACCAAGTAAAAAGGTCTAGCTCTCCCTACTGGGAACGACAACCTGAGGACTATGACAGTCTGACCCTTGATACAGCGGAGCGACGTCACATCGTCGTCTTTCAATCGTCTCAACGTCTGTTTGTTGAGGACCACCGTGATTGCATCATCAACTTGTTGAGTTTGGAGATCGAGGAGCTTCGTGCTTAACTGAGAAAACAAATGATGCCTCCGGCGGAGCCAAGGAAGTTCGGAAAAGGGTCATCACAGCAAATAAGGCACACTTCACTTCTGCTTCCATAAAAAGAACGGTCCATCCACAGTTCTATTCGTGGAAAATGTAGCCGGCCGATATCGATATGTAGCAAAAGGGCCAGTAGCAGTACAAACTATCCCAGAACGAAGAATCTCTGAGAAGACTCTCGTAAGAGGCAAAAGACCATCAGTCATCACTCGGTAGTCCCTCATTCTACGCACTGAGCAATCGCATGACTTGAGGACATGGTTAAGCAACAACAAGGGGTAAGATTGACGGTTGAATAAAGTGGTGGAATAGTGGCTAGATAGGGAAAATGAGTATCTAGATTGGTCCATTCGCTAGATGGAGCATTGTGCTCCGAACTGACTAGTCATTTTCCCACTCTACCTTGAGATTGAAGCTGTGGAAGCTCTCTTGAAGTACAGTCCGTCGAAATTCATCCTCTATAATGGGTAACAGGGTTCTTAATCCATGCCCTAGCCCTAGCCCTTTGGTCTCGAACAGGGCGCCAAGTGGTATAGCTTGGTGGAATTTGTGCCAAGTATCGTTACTTGAAAGCATGGTCCATGGTAACAACTTGCACTCAACAAAGAGCCAATTTACACTCTTCGATGAGTTTCTTGTTCATGTGTTGTACATATTTCACTCGACAATTGAGCAAGAATGAGTTACAGGTCTTACCCTATGCCCTAGCCCGAAAGCTCGACCCTTTAGTCGGAGTAGGGCGCCAAGTGGTATAGCTTGGTGGAAGTTGTGCTAAGTATCGTTACTTGAAAGCATGGTCCATGATAATAACTTGCGCTTTATAAAGAGCCAAGCTACATTCTCCGATAAGTAAAACTTGCCCAAAATTTTCTAAGGCACAAAGCCTAGTCTGTTCGAATAGACGGTCTGCTCGGCCTCGGAGCTTCTGCTCAGCTGGGGGCATGCAAAGTTCTTTCCTCAAAATTTTTCTTAAGGCACAAAGCCTGGTCTGACCGATCAGACGCCCCGTTCGCCCTTAAAGCTTCTGCTCGACCAAAGGCATGGAAAGTTCTTTTCTCAATATTTTTTGAAGGCATGAAGCTTGGTCTGACCGATCAGACGCCCCGTACAGTCTTAGAGCCTCTGATTGGATAGGGGGTATAAAAAGCTCTTTCTTCAAAAAATTTCTAAGGCATGAAGCTTAGTTTGATTGATCAGACGCCTCACTCAATCTCGGAGCCTATGCTCGGTCGGGGGCATGGAAATTTTTTTTTTTTAAATTTTTCTAAGGCACAATGCCTAGCCTGTCTGATCAGATGCCCCGCTTGCCCTCAGAGCCTCTGTTTGGCTGAAGAGCACGGAGCCTAATTTGACTGAGCAAACAACCCTTGTTGCCAAGAATCTTCTGCTCGGCCGGAGCCAAGACAACTGACTTTAGCTAAGGCCAAACGGACAATCTTGCAAGGTTCCCCTATTATTGCTCTACCAGAAGAGTAACTCGACTTTTCAAAGGCATTAGATGAAGTTTGATCAAATAACCAACGATGTAGGGCTACATCCTTGATGCTCGGTTTGAGGGCAAACAACATAAACACAAAGAAATTGAAAGTGCAAGTTACAACTCTAACACTTGGAAAATTTCAAAAATACTTAATTAACTTAAAGTTTCATTACAAAAAAAAGGAGCTCGACTTAGTGAAGGTGATACGAAGCGGAAGAGCTACAAAGAGAGATAAACAACAGAAGTTGGTATGACGCCCAATGCTTGAGCAAAACAACAGAGGTTG